TTCATTTATAAGAAGCTAGACTAAAATTTTCTCTAAGGTTTTTTCATAGTCATAACTTCTTCCTCATGTTAACTTCAAACATGTTGAGTGAGGTATAACTCAGCTTGCTCTAAATTGCAAACCAGATCCATAGACTTCACGCAGACATCAGTTTTGATGCAGTCTTTGGGGAAAACCAGTTCAACTGACTGTCTCCTTATCCTGCCCGTTCATATGGCATCGGTTGGTTTTGACTTTGAGTTCACCAGGCATCTAATGAAAGCAGATACTTGTGTGCGGAACTGACAACCCATTCATTTATCAAATGCTAGTCCAGTCTTCTCTTCAAAAGGATTACTTGGCTTGTTGGTCTGACACTTCAGTAAGAAAAGACGCCAGACAGATGCACCCTCTGCCAGACAATATGGATATTGCCAACACTTGCTCTTGTCAAACTTGATGCCACTGAGATAGCACAAGATGGCAAATTTCGCTAACATAACCGATGCCCTACTACATCTGGAGTCTTGTAACACTTGTGACAGCACTAAATGATGCTGAATTAGAGAGGTTACCGTGTGCTCCCTATTCAATCCGTACTGCATGAATTACAAACTGGTTTATATGTGTATATAAACTATGCTCAATGCAATTTTTAGCGGTGAGTCATCAAAGGTGTGCCTGTCCTACAAAGGCTGGGTTCCACCTCTGTGGTGATGCATACCAAATTAGTATTTTCAGCCACGTAAAGCAAATTTGCAAGCATAAAGCCGTAAGGCTGTCTAAACTCACTGCCAGTTATACAGCTTGAAAAAGTGAAGTTGGTGTTAGACATAGTAAAACCTTATTTTAATTAAAACAGGGCTTCATGAGGGTTCGCAAGAATTTTGCATTCTACTCTTCTGATTTCTAGACATGAAACAAATTAATGCTTGATATTCTATTAGAGGGCCACCCAATCTTAGCTAATATTTCTTAGTTTGTTTAAGAGGGTTTTTTTGTACAATTACAACCAAACCACAAAGAATTAAAATTCAAAACTCATCCAAAGTTTGAAACGCTAATGGGCTGTTTGAGGATCCATTACGATCATGTTTATAACCAGCGGTTGTTTTGTTGTTTTAAAACAGGTGAACAGCTCATTAAAAACTCAATTAATTTAGAGTAATATTTTCTAATGAGACCAAGTAGAGAAAGTTTCATGATTAAAGAAAAATAGTTGAGTGAGAAAGAAGAGAGGGGTAAGTTACAATTTTGACAGGACAATTCAGAGCACGAGGGGAGTAAATCTTGCACAAAAGCTGTTTTCTGCCCTAGAGTACACACTGCACTGCCTCCCACCAGTGTTTACCACACATAGGGGGGTAATTATTCTTCCTGCTAATTAACCCAATAAAATATTCAAGAAGTAAACTACTTAGAATTCTAAATCTCATTTATAAAAGTGATATATCACTTATCAGTGTAATATAATGAAGACATTAGGGTACAGATTTCTCTGTCCTTGGAGTCTAGATCTGGCAAAGGATTTAGATTTAACTCAGACACCACAATTTTTTGTTTAATACTCAGAACTTCTCCCATCACCAGAAGCTGGAGAAATCATCGCTTAGTTCTCCAGGAAAACCCAACCAGTCTAGAAACCAGCTATTTCTCCCCTAAACATCCATCCAAAACAAGATCGTGTTGTCTCGGGAAGAGGCAGGTTGCTCTTCACGCTCCCCAGCCTGTGAAGGTTCAAACGGACAGCACACAGAGGAACTCAGTCCTTAACTTGCAGCCAGGCTTAGTGGAAGCTGTGGCCCATGCTGTGAAACTCAAGTGCATTGGGCTTGTAGTGAGTCAGTCTCTTCCAAAGAGCATCATCCGTAGGAAGCATGGGCAGGTGACTCCAAGGTCAGGGTCAGCTCTAGGCTTGCATCAAACATCTCCCTGATGGTTCTTTGCTGCGTAGTCCCCAGCCAGCTAGGACTCTTTGCACTTATTGCTTTGCTGAAGTGAAGATGTTGGAACACAAATGCTTCAGCACTGAAAACGCAAGGCCGATAGGGTCAGTGGCAGCAGCCCTTCCCAGGCAGGATTTGCTCTAGCAGATGCCATGCCTTGGAGATGACCTTATTGGGGTGAGGCATGGAACTGTGCTCTGCTGTCACTCCTGGCAAAGACCCACCCGTCACCATCCAGGGATGAGTCCTCCAGGATAAGGTTATAGAGTAACTCCTGTTTCCAGCTAGTGGTTTCAGCCCTTCAAGCCAACCAATGAAGTTGGTTGAACTGGTGAACACAATGAGCAGTAGAGGTTCCTTCAACAACGAGGAAGGAAGCTGTGTCATCAACTTCACTGTTGTCAAAATGTAAAGCAGCTCTGAAAACTCTGCATCTGGTTGGGAAAGGCCCCCCCTGAAGCAGAAGTCACCGCAGGCAGATGACCTAATTTGGCCACCTACCCATGGCATGATTCACCACGGCGCAAGTGCCTGTTTCTGTCAACTGTGACACAAACCAAAGGAAATGAGATCAGAAAAGATACCTAAAGCCCTAACTCACAACGCCCAAAATGTAAACTTAAAGAGATAAGCCTCATAAAGAAGGAAGAATGAGGAAAAAATATCACCTGGACATACAGAGCCGCTTTCTGCATGTTGGAGAGGAGTAAGGCAGCCAAGGGAGGGGCAGGAGTGGCAAAAAAAATCCAAGCAGGATCAAACATCATCAAGCACCTCTCCCTACTGTAGTAAACGCACTTAAGATGAGCCAAATTCAGATACTACCACTGCCAAGCTGGAGTGGCTGTGCCTCGCACCAGGCAGGCACAGCAAAGGCTCCGTCGCTCATCTCCGTGCCCCAGAACTCAGGGATCTGCATCAGCAGAAAGCCAGGTGCATTTCGTTGGCTCAAATTCTGACCAATTCCACATGCAAATAATGTGGCCTCCAAGGTCAGGTTCCCCACAGCAGAGAAAAAGAAGGTGGAGGGACAAATACTTTCTTTTGGCAGTTCATTTTTACTGAGCAAGTCGTTTTGCCGCGAGGTCACAAACTAGGCCTCGGTCCTTTGCGTCACAGGAACTTCTCCGTTGCTGCTCTGTCAGCCAGAAGCAGATGTCTTGGAGCTCCATCATCCTTGCAGTTTCCTGCTCAAACGGTGCTCCTATTCCAGCTCCTTAGCAGACACAAACCCTATTGCTTCCAACCAAAGACCTTCCAACCAAAAAAGCAGCTGCTTCGCAACAAAAGGAGTCCCAAAAAGGCCTTGATCCTCCTGGCTCCTTTGATGGCTGACCAGGGCCATGGTCATGGAAGTCTCTCCTCCTAGGGTGGAAGCCACTCTGGCTGCATGCACATTCATGAGCATTGAGCATCCAAAGTCATCTCCTGCACCACAATGTTAGAGGTGATGCTGAACAGCAGAAGACATTCGATGGCTGCCGATGGTCCTGTCTTCTGCTGTACTAGGCAGTTCCCAGGACTCACAATGAAGCGCAGGTGACACAAAGCACTCCAAGGTAGAGATGTTTTAGGTAACTGAAGACCAGCCCATTTAGGGCTTGAAGGCAATGACTATGCCTTAAAACATGAGGCAAGAACCAGCTCTGCATTCCTGTGGCCGCCTGCGCTGGGCTACAACGCTGCAGAGGCGGATGCAATAAATCCCATTAAGCACAGGAAGGAAGCCAGTTAAAAAGATGATGGATGCCAGGAGGCTTGAGAGCAGCAGTTGTCTTCCCCGAAGTAACAAGCACTGCATTGACCTTCTCCCCCTCATCAAGAGTTCGGTAACTGCGTTTCATTCTGGTCATCCTTGCAAATCATTAGGTTTGCTGAAGAGCTAAAGCGTCGAGGAACATCAGCACCTCCAGGAGCTCGACGTGGGCTTGGCGCAGCAAGAGGGTACAGCCAGCCTCTCGGATCCGCCTGACAAAGTCCTCGCAGCTTTTGTATTCACTGTAGAGCAGAAGGCAGCGCTGCCCTGCTGCCAGGGTGCACGTCCCTGGCAGGTCCTGCAGGTCACCAGCAGCATTGGAAGATGCTGCCAGGAGCAGCGTTTGGCCTCCTCCTGGTGGACGTGGGTCCCGGGCTGCTTCTGCACTAGGTCCAGGGATGCTTTCAAGGTGAAGGAGTTTGGGTGCACTGGATTGCTGCTGGAGTGGTCCAAAGAGGACAGATGGATGCCAATTCTGATAACAGATTGCTCTAGAGACCTTAAGTTTTTCATGTCAGAAATATTTTTTATTTCTTTTAAAACCAAATATGGTACCTACAGTGATTAAAAACCCACCCCAATCCTCCCACCCCCCCCAAACTCCCACCCATAGCAAAGATAATTGACTAATCCAGCCCTGTGAAACTTGACAATGAGACGCTTCAATGGAAGGGTAAATTTTTACATATGGTACATGATAGGAACAATATGAGCCCTACAGTTCTAGAGGAATGAGCCAAGAAGGAGAGTTATGGTGAAGAAAGTTGTACATCAGCCCTGATTCAGAGAGACATTTTGCAACGTCGGCCTTAAAACGCATAAGAACCCCATCTAAATCATAAGAACTACACACAGCCTTACAACGGGCTGCATTCTGCTGTATCCCCCCAAACTGGGGACTGCGAGCACAAACTGTGAACTTAAAAACCATATCTGAAAAATCCCTAAACCTCTGTCTCTACCAGACAGGCAAATCAAGCTTTTAACACTAACGTGTGATCACATTAATGTGCGTATATTCGTCAACTGACGTTTATCTGGCATGTTGGAAAGACTGGTATTTATCACTAAAACTATTGATACAGATGCATGAATATCAAGCGGATTTGAACAATACTACAGCGTCATGTCCTGTCAAAACCAGTCACCTCTTGAATTTACCTAACGGCTGCACCAAACGGCTTCTAAGCCACTCACAGGTAGACAATTGCATTCAAAATAACTGCACTAACAACGACATTCAAGATACAACACTTTTCTTGGAGGTCAGGTCACAAACAAGAGGCACTATCTGCAGGGCAACGTAGTGTTTGTCCACTTCAGCTGGCCTCCGGCTCTCCCCTTTTGCCGTTTTTTGGTTCCCAACGGGTAACCCCTGACGGGAGGTCGGTTTGTTCCGTCATCCTCGCCACTTTTCCTTTTGGTACGTTTTCTTCAGGGAGGTCATGCTTTCCCTTCATTTCCATTGGGTCATCTGTATCATCTACGGCAAGAAGGAAAGAAGAATTAAAGTTTGCAAGTCCTTCTCCAACCTCAGTGCAACAGCCCACAATGACAGTAGCAGGTGAAGTTACAGAGCATGCCAGAAAACGCGCCTATTTACAGGCAACAAGAACAACGCTGGGAGTAGGGGACTCCGGTTCTCGGATTTTGGCTTTCCGTATCTCCCGAGAGCAATCACAACATTCCCTCCCCTATACCAAAGGGTTTGTGGAGGAACTCTCAGCATACATTGGCTGTATCTGGAAGGTACCGATGTGCGACCTCCTGGATGCATGAGGATGCACAGGATTGGGAACAATTAATTTCTTCTGATCATAGCAATTCAGGCAGGAATACTTAAGGCTCCCCTCAGCTGCTGCATGTTGGATTTCTGTAATATATATGTGGGCTGCTACGGCGTACGCTGTTAAATACAGAAGCATCGCTTCACCTTCCTTCCTGCAGAGGATACCTCTGAGGCTACAAGTTCATCACAGGCCCTAGGATTTCAATTTTAAAAGCACAGGTGCTATGTAATTGGAACACCTCTGTGACTGGAAAGACCTAATTACTTCAGGCTAGCCCAAAGGTTGAGTGTTCCAGCCTCACCTGATAACTACCGGTTTGTTATGCGTGTGCTTAACCTATTCAGAAAACAAGGTGAAAAGGTAAATTTCTGAGAGCAACTCAGCTCGCAAGGGCTTTTTGCTAATTAGGGGTCAGTGGGAATCTCAAATAATTCTTCCTACAGGGCAAGGTAGATCATGGTAAAAAGAACAAACAATGATGCTCTGGTTCACAAGAGGCATGGGCAGAGCTGCAGAGATTTCTGCAACTTGGAGATACGCCTCGCAAAGCTGGGGGCTGGGGCCTCTGTGCAGATCTACAGAAGGTAGAGAAGAAGGTCTGCCTTTGGGAAGGCATTCCTCCAGCAGGCACAAGCAAGCTCCCACCCTGCAAGGGCAGAAGGAAGGGAAGGGACGCTGCTCAACCTCTGGTTTCCCATTTTAACAGTAACTAGAAGAGCAGCACACAGTGTTGGGAACCAAGAGGAAAGGTGTTCTGGAAATCAACACAAAACCAGCCCCCAAAGCTGGAAAGCTGCCTGGCAGAAAAGGACCTGTTGGTGCTGATCGACAGCCAGCTGAACATGAGCCAGCAGTGTGCCCAGGTGGCCAAGAGGGCCAATGGCACCCTGGCTTGTATCAGGGATAGCGTGGCCAGCAGGAGCAGGGAGGTGATGGTCCCCCTGTGCTGGGCACTGGTGAGGCCGCCCCTCAAATCCTGTGCTCAGCGCTGGGCCCCTC